ATTTGGCTTACGTTTCACCCTGATCTTTGATTTTTCCAGGCTCTGACGAAGGCGATAAGGCCGAAACGTAAGCCAAATAAAACTGTTGTATCATCTTGGTTCGGCTACAGTAATATCCTAGACACTCTGAACAGAGACCCCTTGGCAGCGGGTGCCTTGGACCAGTTTGCCGGACGTTGGCAAGCTCAGGGCAAGCAGGCGAGCGTGCAATCAATTCCCGGCAAGAGCACGGAAAATCACCCTACGACGCTCCAGGCAACGCTATGTACACACGCAATTCCGCTTGTAAGCCGTTGTCTTGCAGAGTGAAAGTAATCGTGGTTGCAATGGTTGCAATAATCACGCGTCTCTAGCTTCTTTATCTCGCCGTTTCGAGTGACGAAAGTGGTATATTCTCTGCGAATGTGGACAACGATGTCAAATGCAAGTGGAAATTTCGCGGACCCATTGGTCGCGGGAACTGCCTCCAATACTTTTACCAGTAACTCAGCATTCTTGTGACACCTTTCAAAGCGTAACCCAGTAGTCATTTGGAAAAACTACTTCAAAAGTGTCAGAAATGCGAACTGCTCATTGCACGACAAGCCCGTAATCCTCGCTCCCGTTCGCTTACACGAAAAAAATTTGAAAGGAAAACCTGGGTATAAATTAAAAATTAGGAGAGAGCAAGAGCTGCCCTTCCAACCTTACCAACCTGCATTAGTGGTAGGGCCTTGCACACTGGCTGTCATGATGTTGATCCCCACACCACCGTTATTTGTGACATTCACCATATTGAGAATCACCTTTTCACGAGGAGACAACACCTGAACAAAAGGAACCATTCTATTCCATACTTGTAAGAAGATAATTTTTGCGCAGTTCGGCTTGGTAGGGCTATTAAATGGTACTCAGCTGAAATTTTCGAAACATCTTATGAAAACCGAGAAATTCTTGTGACCAACGTGGCTTACTACCATTTCAAAACTTCACAGGTGTCAAAATCAGGACCTGTTACCTAGAATTTACCAAAAAGAGAACTATAAGAAGTCCAAGATGCCTTTTCGAAGTCAAACAGCACCAATTTTTTTTCTTTGCTGGGGACCGTTCACAGATATCATTTGGATGGATTTCTCCTGCTTGTGTGAACCTTATTAGCCATTTTCCACCTATGATGTTGAATCGACGCTGGTCGTATGGACGGAGATAGTATAACAGTAATGTGCCCTCCTTTAGCGTCTCTTGCATTTAGCACCTTGGAAGGGGGGGGGGTGGCATGAGGACGGCACACAGTTTGTCTGCGCTCCCGCGACCATACGACCAGCATGGACTGCGGGTTTTGGAACCAGCAGCCTTGAAAGATGGGATGTACCACTGCTGAACAGTCACATCTACCACTATTTCTGTAATCGTTCTTACCTGTATCGCATGCATACTACTGTTGGTTACATTCACGTGGTCTATCAGCGGTGAACGATAAAATAACTGTAATCCAGCGGACTGCAAACTGTCATTGTGGCCAGAACCACCACCAACGATTTCAACATTACGTAGTATGGATGCATCTGAAAGCAAGTAATCTACCAGTAATCCCGTATTCTCCGATTTTCTGATCAGAGCAATAATCGCGAACCTTTCACTGGCAGTTGATCCAATTCCAGTGATGCTCGTGCAAAGCTTAAGCCTCCCCAGTTGCCAATATAAATCCTGGAAATGTTTACATATGACACGAAATCAACGATGGAGTTGTACATGAGACTCACCGATCCAAGGTTGTGTTTGGTCCGCAGTAGATGTAATTGAAGTGTTCATTGTCCATACATTGCCACTGAGAGTCGTTGCCGGTGAGCCGAAGTTGACATCTGAAATTTGGAAGATACATAAGGTTCTATTTGAACACGTCGTAGACACAAACAGCCAGTCGAGTAGGGCTACCTAAACCAGAATGGGCCGCTGCACATTCTTTAGAGACTCTATGCTGGGATAGGGGAAAACCCAAAAGAAACAGGAATGTTCGGAAGAAAAGTAGTTGAGGATAAAGACGCGGCGGCGCAACTACATACAGTCTTGTTCGCTGAGGATGGTGGGAGGTGCCATCCGCAGCGAACAAGACTGTATGTAGTTGTGAGTTTGGCGCGGCGCCACCCGGACCTTCACCAGTTGTTGGAGTGGGTAAGCGACACGCCCCAGCCTCCGCAGCGGACAAGACCTTACCTCACGGTGCACGTTTTACAATGCCTTTTTGATGCACTACAATGAGTGCACATGGCACTTTCTCATTCGGTGAGAGGGTGGAGGCAAACAGAGATGAGAATAACCGCGCCACTCCGTGGTTCCTCCTCCACTACCTGTACCCCGGATTAACATCCACGAAAATAAAGTTGCACAATGTGATCGACTGCTGGGTGCTTTTTCATATACTGAGCAGATGAAGTAAGTTCTTGTTTCTCTGCCAGCCTCCAGCCTCAAAGTTTAATGTGAGGAAGCCACAGAAAAGGTGGACTCAAAAATATTAGGTTGTTCGGAAAGGAATGCGCGTTTGAGTGTAAAAAAATTTTTATTATAAAAACGAAATTAAACAAGGTCAATCTAAAAGATAATCTCCATTACTAGCAATGACTTGTTGCCAACTGTACGCAAAAACTTTCGCCAAAAG